CCTTGGTTGCTTTATGCAAATCTACAATCAATATTTTCCTAGTTTTCACCATTTCTTGATACGAGAATCTTTCCTTTTAAGAGAAAACAACAGAGATGTAAACAAATCTATTTTTTCATCAGTAAGATATATAGATGTACGATTTAACAAATTCAGTTCTGCTTAACTCAGTTTGATACAAGGGCAGGTAGTGATAGAACAAGGGGTAATGGCTATAAACTAGAAAAGGATAGATTTAGATTGGATTTTAGGAAGAAATTATTTACTGTGAGGGTGGTGAGACACCGGAAGAGGTTGCCCAGAGAAACTGTGGATGCCTCCTCCCTGGAAGTGTTCAAGGCCAGGCTGGATGAGGCTTTGAGCAACCTGGTCTAGTGGAAGGTGTCCCTGCTTATGGCAGGGAGGTTGGAACTAGATGATCTTTAAGGCCCCTTCCTACCCAAACCATTCTATGATTCTATGGTTCTATGATTTTGGAGAAAAAACTGAACATGAAGACTTCGAAGAGAATGTTGTTTCAATGCGATACAGTTTCAGTGGTATAAATTGAGTTGCTGTGGTGATGGAAAAGACCTTTAACTGACCTGTTTCAGTAACTGCATACCCTAAAAGCCTTACCTGTGCTAGGGTTATGTAATTACTGGGTCAGACTTTAGGTTTATACAGCATAAGAATTTAACAAGGGATCCAGTTTATCTTGTTATATTCACAACATTAGATTTTTGTTTCTTGCAACAAGAACAACCTGGAAAATGATGCCGATAAACTTTGACAAATATTTTGAATATAATACTTTTAAAAATGCATGGCTTTATTTTAACTCATGATATAGAAAAATAAAAGCCAATGCAAAATCTTTCTGCCCATATAAAGGTAAACTGAGACCAAAGAAGTTACTTGGGATTTATATACATAGTGATTCAGTCCTAAATGCTGTTGAAATATGCTGCTTCTCCCCCTCCTCCAGCTTCTGAGTGCCTATACAATTAATTTTTGAAAAAAAAATCTGCCGTTTAAAACATAAGCAAGCCTAAAACCTTTAAAATAACTTGTACTGCTAGCAATGTCAATGCCTTCTAAATGAGAGAACTGTCAGTACAAGGGAGATTTAAGAGGAGAGACATTTTCTTATAAGCTGGTAGAGGGACACCGAATATATGTTCAGCCATTCTTGTCACTAGAAGAGCAAGATACGCATTGCAGGTGAATTTGATCTTAATATGCATCTCCTTCTAAGGATCATTGGAAACAACCTCCGTGTGTCTACTATTCTCTTCAGAGTCCTCAGCCTCTGTGCTTGTGAACTGCACAGTCTGTGCCAGCCTTGCTTCTGCTTCTGAAACAGATTTCATACAGAGAACTAACAATGAACAATTTAGTTAAGCACATTGATAGAGCAGGTACTGGAGATCTGCTGAAGAGCTGACATCTGAAAGGAGCTTAATGTCTGTGCCTTGCTGGATAGAGTAAAACTGAGATCCTGTGCATGTGTTTCAGTATGGTATATGCCAGGCTTTCCAAAGTCTTACTTGGCTATTCAGACACATGCGTGCAGTAGCTGTTCAATAGACTGCAAAGGACCAGCCTATGGAGACAGGTAGAGGGAAGCTTCAACACGATCAACTAAAGATGAGAACTCTTATTCTTCCCTTTCAGAAGACTTGTGCTAACCTTAATTTTTGTGGCCTGTGCCTGGCAGTGTGAACAAATAGTAGCACTTGGTTTGATACAAAATGCTATCTGCCTGCTCAGTACTTGTATTCAATACCATATTAAATTATGGTAAAAACAGTGATGTAAATATCACAGCTGTTTGTAGAGGCTTTCACACAGCATCACCACAGAAAGGTTTATTGTTCTCTGCAGGAATGAAATGTTTTTCCCTCTTTTGAGGATATTGTTGTCAAAATTAAAACTTTCCAAAGGCAGCTTGAGCAGTACAGGATTAAATCACTTGAAAGAACCTGTTCTCTATTCTTTTACTTGAGGCTTGTTTGCTTTGCTTGGTTTGGGATTTTTTTCACACTTATTTTTCTTTAGAACCATAGCACAGAGTTCTAAGACAACCTTAATGAATTTATTATAGCACATTTTTTTCCATTCTAAGTAGACAAAAAAGCATGAAAAATAACACTTTTATTTGTGCAGTAGGCTTTTGACTACCTTTTTGACTAAATAATGTGTTACTACATACAATGTAAGAACAGAATGAAGAACTAGTAGCACTTATTAAATTGACTTCTTAGCTTAGAAATTTTGAAGTGGAATTCCACTGTCCTATGTCACCATTAGCTTATAGGGCCATGTTAACTCCTTGATTAATGTCATTGACTTAGTTTGTGGCTTCACCACAGAAAGGAAATGAATTCATTTTAAGATGGTGGAGAATTGGTAATGCTTTGAAAAAATGTTAATACCATGATTACAAAAGTGAAGCTATTGCAACAAATCTACAGGCTTAGAAGAAAGAATCTTAATCAACACCTGTTGGCCAAACTCAATCTCAGGGCAAGGCACCCTCCAGCTCTGCCAAGGTATAAAGGTGTAAACTTTCTGGGAAAATCTCAGGGATAGATTTGATTAGCATTGCTAGTAAAATATTGCATTACTTCAGCATTACAGGTATATGACATACAATATATGTTTCAGCAATGCCTAAACACTTTGAATGCTGTTGAACTACATTAGATTTAAGAGCTTTGCTGAATAACTGTGATTTCTTATTTGTTAAAAATTAAGCATGTGGAAAAGAGTTTTGAAGAATCAGGGCATAATTTTCTTTAATACTGCAGTTCATTTCTAAGGGACTAGTTAGGGACAAAAATTTACTCACCTTGAGTAAAGGATGGCAGAACTCTGCCTAATAAATAGAATTTTTGGAAAGACACTGTTTTTTATAGTGTGTTCCCTTGACAATCTAAGATTGTTCCTTATAATGTTGAATACTCTATTTTTAGCACGGTATTTAATTGAATCATAAATGACTCAAACTGTGGTGCTTCTACCACTTCCCCAGTCTATAGAAATTTGAATGTGTGTTTGCTTGGTATTGCAGGATAAAACAAATAACAACAGATCTGAAAAAGACATCAGAAAACTACTCATTCTTAATTCCTGTGAATAATTGCTTATTTCACTGTTGTGTTTAAGTATATAATGATTTCTGCCAAAAGAATCTGACACAAGTGGAATTTGATTAATGAATAACATTATTTGCTGATGGCCTGAAGGATTTATCTTTATCTAAATATTTTTTTCCAGAATGGGCACTTTTAAAATTAGATTAAACACTTCTGTATAATATCTATTTCAAGTCCTAGACAAATCACGCTTTTATTCAATTAGCATTACTATTCCAAGCTTTACCAAGTAATTCCCCAATAATACAGTACAGATCTGTTTCACTGGCCACAGCAATCAACTTCTGCAAGAAAATCAGCTGAAAAGAAAAGAAAAAAACATAAATGTGTTTACAATAATATGAAACCTAAATGAGTATGCACATTTTTGTAAGATGAATCTTTAGATGTTCTTGAGTTGTGTTTTTCTAATGAGTGCCACTGGGTATTGGTCAAACTCGTCATGTCTTAATTGTTGGTATCATGAGAATGGAGTTACTCTTCCTATTCTTATTTTCCTTTTTTCATGAATTTACAGTTCAGCAGTCTAAGCTTAGAAGGAAAACAAATATGAATTAATTTTGTCAAGTGATCCTAAAACTCATTTTAATTAGTCCCTTACACTTGACAGTTAACCTTGATTGCATTTCATGTTTTAGACTTTCTTGCTTTGTGTAATGAGGAATGCTCTCAAATAATAATGTTAGTAAAGCAGAAGAATAAGTTGATACATTTTTTTACATTAGCAGTGCAGTTTATTTTTCCACGCTCCTTTGATCAAAAAGTCTTGATATATCAATTTTGCTAAATTTTGCTATCTACCTGTTTGTGTAACCGATTACATTTACTGATTTAAGGATTAAGAAGTCAATGAAAATTATCTGAGCTGGAAGACAAAGCCAATCTTAGCAAAATGTTAATCCATGGATTTCATTACATCTGAATCTACTTACTATATCTGACTATTAATATTTAATACCTGTATGACGGATTATGGAATTTAAACAAAAAATATCTTGGTTCATATAAATACATAGATCTGAGAGGTCCTGTAGTTAGAAAATAACTTCATAGAGACAAATTAATTACAAAGTAGGGAAATCTTTTTCCCCACTTATCTCCTACCTGAATCCTTAATCTAGGTTGTTTTAATATCTTATGGAGCTTTGCATTTGCAAATTCTTCCCTTGGAGAGCACATTAAAATCCCGTCTTGCTCCCTTAGAAACTGATACAAGTTTTGGTCTTAATTTTAAGAGGAACTGTATTAAACCCATAGTAATAGGTCAGTTTGTGTGTTATTTCTGAAGATTTTTGCTTTTTATTATATGACTATTAATGTAAAATAAAAAAATCCTGATTTAAAAGCTGTAGTCTTCATAACGGGTAGGCTCTGCTAGAGGCCAGTACTGGGTGGTTCAAGATGGCTGGCATGAAGTCAAAATTGTTTTCAGACTCTTTCAGTGATCAGACCTCCTCGCTAGCATCACACAAACACTGGATACAGCTGGTGCAGGCAGTGGTGTTGGGTTTGTATGTCAAAAGTATTTGCACCTGAAATGTGTCGAAGTTCTTATGGATTAATGGTGCGTGTGCCCTATGGGGAGAACATCTGCTCCTCAAACCAAATGCTTTTAACATAGAGCTCTTTCTTTCTCAATGTATATTCCATAAAATGGAACTTGGGCAAAGTTTATGTTTATTACTTCCTCTGTTGTTTGCATCTTATCTTTTCAGTATTATTTTACATGTTCACCTCCATTCTCTTTTTCATTCTCAGGAGAATCCAATTTGCTTATCCAATTTCTCTCTCTTTTTCTCTTTTCTCTTCCTCCCTCTGCCCCCCTCCCCTCCCCCCCTAACACCTTTCCCTTTCATCCAGATGGAATGCCATTTGCTTGGTGGGTTGGCCGTGCCAATGAAAAGCATCTTTACTGGGGAGGATCAATTCCAGGCATTCAACAGTGTGCATGTGGACTGGAAGAAAGTTGCTTGGATATGAGATATTTTTGCAACTGTGACGCAGATAGAGAAGAATGGTAATAATTTTAACATGTATAATAGTATCTGTGTGAGAGCTGGGGATATGAAGGAGGGCAAGAAGGCTTAATCTTTTCCAGATTCACAGCTCAGGAAGCTTGAATGGCTTGAATATGATCAAATGAGAGTGAAAGTCAAACTAGAATTTGGACTTCTGATTTAATCTTAAATTTCTTATTTGAACCAAAGACTAGATATCTGGTTGAAGCAGGTTGTTGGGATGAGTTGTCTTCAAAAAATCAGTGTTGTTGAATACCAAATCTAGTAGTTTCATTTGTTTAAAAATTTCCATTGATCCCATTGGAACATTGGATGAATAAAGGCTCTAGGAAATTGGTGCATAGGTATACATCAGAGCAGAAAATTCTGGCATAGACAGTAAAATTCAGGTACAGAAGGCTAAAGAACAAGAAATCCATGCTATCAAGAGAGACTTGTACTTTTCTTAAGAAACAGTATATGTGCATTATCTTCTTTTACACTGGATCCCAACCTTTTTAAAGTCAATGGAAAGACTTCCTTTGGCTTCTGTAGGTTTTGGTTCAGTCTCCATAGGAAGTTTTAGAAGCATGACCATTCAAAGCCTTCCTTGGGTTTGGACCTTAGTTGTACCCCAATGCCTCATGAATTTGCGAAGGCCACCTCATAACCTTCTCCCATTCTCTGCACCTTCAGAGACTCTCCAACAGCTGAGACCTAGTTGGTGAACTTTCCAATTGATTCCATACTTGTGTTGGAGGGAACAGGAATACCAGATGAGTGTTGTTGAAAGTACAATTTGAAACACTGGAAACACATGTGAAAACTCTGCTTTACCCTCTCTCTCTCTCTTCTGGACCTCTCACTGATAGGAGGTGCTGCCCTTTCTCTAAAAGAGATATTTTAACCTCTAGTAGTTCAGAAATTACAAATAATTGAAGCAGATAAGAAATGTCTTGCTGCAATAGGCTACTGTGTTTGAAATAGTGTCCAAATTATCCCTGTGAAACCTTCACTTAAAAGATAATGAGTTGAAAGGAACTGTAAGGGGTCTTGATAAACAATTTAGAAATGACTTGTCACTGTAAATGTTGGGCTTTTTCGGTTGTTTGATTTCCAGACAATGTGATTATTTGCTTGGAATCTTTATGTCCCTGGCATCACCATTCACTTTCAAAAATCATGGTTGTTAGGGGATTTCTTTGGGAATTTCTTTATGAAACTGTTGGTTTGTGAATGTGATTTGTATAGAAAGACCTGTCTGTGCATGTTAATCTACCTCTTCTTTACCGTTTGGTTATTAGAAGCACTTTGGTGAGTTTTGCACATGAGCATCAAAAGCATCTGTTTTTACTAGTGTATGGCTCTGTTCATAATCCACATTTCACTTTTTGGTAAACTGCTGCTCAAACAGAGCAGGGTGTATTACACTGGCAGACCATTGGGGTTGTAGTCTGAGATTGTAGGACAGTGCATCACTAGATTATGCAAACTAATGCTAGGTGAGAGCTAAATGCATTTTTATTATGTTTCAGCTGAGTCTCCTAAGGAAATGAGACCTAAATGAGTTATGCTCTGGGTATTTATCTCCATTCCCACCTCCCACCCCCCACCCCGAAATGATTTTGAAGAAGCAGACACATTTAAAACATTTTTAACAGAGAATGAGAAATCTCAAAAGTATTAGAAATTACACATTCTATGAAAATTTATGCCAGACTGAGGGGAAAAAGCCAATTAAAACCCACAAGAAGGAAGTTGAGGAAGCTTACACTTTTATTAGATTTTGGAAAACCCTCATGGGAGAGAGATGTTGGAAATCATGCTTCATTAGCTTGGCAGCTCACAGAGCTACTTGTTTCTCCTGATTTCATTATAATAACAGGATATGCATAGAAGTTTCCTCAGCTAAACTACCTACTGTTTGTTGGTTTGGGGGTTCAGGTGTTTTGGGTTGGTTTTTAATCAATTTGAAATTTGGTTTTCGGTGGTATTCTAAATTGCAGCTTGCCTTTTAAAAGCTAAACCCCCCCTGACCTTTACAAAGAGTTTCTAAACATAAAAAATTTCATGCCTTTTGAAGATTACTTTTGTGTTTCTCTGCTAGAACACTGACCCCCCTGATATATAATGAGCATTTGAATCTGAAACCTGCTGAGATCTGAACTGTGACTTTAACCTGCTATACATTATACTGAAAGGAGCAGGACAGCAGTAGATGCATTTATTTGCCTTAGCGTGAAATAAAATGAGTGCTGCAGAGTGGAAAACCAGAAAATAATTTTCGCTCCTTTTAGATAAATCAGGCTGTTCACTACATCTCTAAGGTAGAAACTCACCAGAATAACTAGTGCATCGTTCTAAAGAGGAGACAGGCTTAAGATTTTGCTTTGATTTGGTTTCCCTAGGCTAAGTGTTGGGTGCAGAAGCTACTACTTTCTCAGAGCAGTAAGGCAGAAAACAAGATAAAACAGACCTGAAAAGAGTCCTGAGCCATGTGTTTGGCAGAAAACAATATGCACTTCTAGGCATGCTGACTTTTAAATGATATCTAAGCAGACACCTGAGCCAGCTGCTGTCTCTGGGCTCTTACTTGATGTGGCACCAAGTTAGTCCCCCTGGAGTTATGCTGGCCAGATGAACAAGAATATAATTGGTTGCATGCTGTATGGGGAAGGCCTTTGTATTTTTCACCTTTCTTTTTATTAAAGCATTCTAGTGAAAAGTATCTTTTCCATCCATCTCCTGACCATGCTTCCAAACTCTGCAGTATGATGACATCTAATTCTGTCACTGCAGAATAGAGCTTTTTCATGGTATTTGCTGGAGAATGGGAGAAGACCTCTGTTGAGGGAGCAAAAGCACAAGTTGTCACCCTGACCCAAGCAAGGGATCTGGAAAGATTTTAAACATTATTTGTCTGTTTATGCATGCCTCCAAAAAAGAGAGATTCCTGACTGTTGAACACTCTTGCTAGTAGACAGGAATATTTACAGAAATCTAGTGGCTGCAATCTGAAGCTAAATCTAGTCCAGAAAATGTTTTCTTTCTCTCTCTTCCCCTTCCCCAACACTGAGAATAGTTAACTGTTGACACAGGCTATGTATAGATGAGATGGATTTGCCATAGCTTCAAGCACTTGCCTTCAAAGCGATTGTCTTTTGAAAGATAGGCCCTATTTCAAACAGAAGGATGCGTTATTGGGGGAAGATGTTAAACTAATTAATAAAGCATTTCTGAAATGCAGACAGGGTTGTGTTATCTTCAGTCTATGCTAGAGATCCTTTGGATCCTTAAATACCTCTTCCAGGTTGTCTTTAATCTCAAGCAAAATTCTCGTGCCTTGGCAATGAGTCTTGCTGCTCACGAGTCCTTTCATTTAAATGGGAAAAACCTCTTTCATGTCGTGTTGGCTCATGACTGTCCTGAAGTCCATTTGCTACATTGGTCTCTCTGTCTGGAATGCATTTTACACTCCAAATGCAAACACTTGACTGAAGCCAGTCATCAAATCAAACTTACTCCCTACTGATAGCATTTACCTGGAAACCTTGTGAATCTGGAGAACAGCTTTTAGTTTGTACAGGAAGAATAACATCTCTGGAAGTCATTTTGTACAGGAAGTCCAAGTATCTCAGCAGACTGTGGTGGACAGTGTTGTTTCTAACCAGAAGCTGATTGGCCATCTTTTATTTCTGTTCTCCAGTCTCATTATTCAAATTACAGGAGTATCCTTTTATCTTCCAGAACAGCCTTCTTCACTGGGGAACTAAGCTTTTGAGTCTTCTCATTTCCAAAGTAACATACATTCACCTCTTTACTGCAAGCAACAAGGAAACCACAGGACATGAAAAGAAGTTTGGGGTGGTTTGGGTTTTGGGTTTTTTTTTTTTTTGGGGGGGGGAGGGTAATAAGGGGATGTATTTCTATTGTCAGGCCCATTTTGGCTCACAGAGATATATTGATTATATTCAGTTTTGCTTGAGGAGGAACAAAGCCCCGTGGAAGCGAATAAAGTCCTCTTTGGATGAGCTGTATTTGTTCAAAGCTGTGCCAGAGCCAGGACACTAAAACTGGAAGGGCTGAGGAGAGCAGGGCAGAGAAATCCAGCCACTGACAAGCCCACATTTGACAGATTTTGTTGGCTCAGCCACTATCCCACACTGAATCTGCTCCCCCAGAAGCAGTGCAGGCAACTCCACAGAGCCTGTGAGCTCATAAATAAACCCTGCCGGAGGTGACCTGGCCTGTATAGAGCTGTCTGGGGTATCTGCCTTCATGACTGCATTTGTCAACGAACTAGAAAAGCTGCCTGCAGAGAGCTGACTGTAGCAGGCCCCTGAGGTGTCGGGAACCAGTTCATTACTATCATTACCAAACTCTTTCTCTGTACCTCTTCTCTAATTCAGCAAAATATAGCCACTGCATCTTGCCTTCAACTATTAAGTATGTCTCCTTCTGCTACTGTATTTTCCTTTATTGTGACTCTACATTACTGTACCCAGTAAAGCATCTTTGGATGCAGCTGGTGGGTAAGATAGCAATTTAAATGTATTCCTTTAGATTATTAATGATACGTCCTGCACAGGGCTCAAATTTTTTTTTTGGTGGAAGCCTGTTTCATTGGCCCATTCCTCATGCAGTTCATTGGCCCATTCCTCATGCAGTTCATTGACATCTGATGATGATAGTATTCATTTCCCTAAGTGTACTGTATTAATGAAAATCTGTACTGAATATCTAAGCTATTGAAGCTCAGACCCCACCAGAATTTTCATTAATGTATGAGAAGAAAACTTACCAGTGGGGGATCATATAAGAAGAAATTATATTTAATGGCACCACTGCTCTACCATCTGTTAGAAAAAATATGGAAACAGCTACCTAGAGATTACCAATTTATGATGGTTTACACTGTTAGGATACCATAGAGTGAGATTTTCTTTTTTTTTTTGAGCATGCTTCTATTAGTAGCCAGGAAGAGGAAAAATAGCCTCATAGTATTACCCTCAAAATAATTACTTGTCATTTACAGGTAAGACTACCTGTGCTTCATCTTAAAGTGTTCAGTTGCTGTACTATCACCTTTAGGATTGTTGCACTTGCAGCAATTTTTTTTTTTCTTCTTTTTTTTCCTTCACCCCCCTCCTCCCATACATAAAGCATGTGTTTGATATGTAACATGCCTCATAGCTTAGTGAGAAAGTCCTTTGGGTAGATACAGACATTAATCTTCAGACATGGATAAAGAGATGACATCCAACTCTATTTAATACCCATAACTAAAAATATTTCAGTGATTTAATTTAAACAGCATTATTATATTTATTTTCTTTTGGTTTTGCTTGTGGGAAGTAGAAATTGATGCTACACTTTATGCAAAGAGCTCAGAGAAATATCTGTTCATTGAGGGTGCTTTCCACCCTCTGAAAAACATTCAGATTTTCATCAGAATTTGTGACAAATTGAGTGACAAGTCAGGTAAGCAGAAGGTCTACTTCCCAAGTTTATTAATTTATTTTTAGCATTTTCTGCAGGTATAGGACTTCTTTCAGGAAAGGGATAAAACTTGCTTTGATTTTTGTGAAATCAGGACTTACATTCTTGACCAAGGAGCTTTCTAACAGAAAAGAACACTTTTTATTTGTAAACTATGATACATTAAAAGTGATCCCCAAGCCCCCTTCAGGCAAAATTCCAAATGTTTTGTCCAAACTCTGGAATATTTGTATTTTATAATGTCACAGCAGTGCCTCCAGAAAATTATTGTATAGGTACATGAGGCTCTCTTGCTTCTCTCTGAGGCGTAATACACTTTATTTGAGAGGCTGCCATGGCGCACCACGTAAAGAGAAGAGGAATCATGGTGCTTTATAAGAAATGGAGTCTGAAACAGGTTCAACTTAAAGAATACCAGGAATTTAAGACAGTCAAGCTTTAGCTCCCATGAGGGTCTGCACAGTGTCTTCAAATCTCTTTTCTGCTTTTCTTAGCTGAAACGTCTTAGGTGTTGACTTTTCACCAAAACTTAATTTCCCACCATGAAGTAATAATAATAAACTGTAAAAATAGGTGTGTTGTTCGTGTCATTAACACATTCTCTGAATTAATCTGTTTTATTTCAGTGTCTGCTTGTATGAGAATATGTATCCTTACACAAGTTGTTTGATTTTTTTTTTCCATGTGTGAGAGAATAAAATACATAAAATGTGCTGTTGGAGCTTCAAGAGAAACTTGATTGAGTTCTCAAGGCATTAACATAAAAATGAAGATTTTTATTAGATCTAGAATATTTTTCTTTCTCACAGTTGAACTATGCTACTAAAGTTCTCTATGACACTGGCATATAACTAGTAAAATCCGAGAGTCATAAAATTCAATATAAAAGAACTTCATGCAATATAACAGAATATCTAATAAGCAATGCAGTTTTCAGAGATGTGGAATAGATATCCTTAAAATGTCTCCATTTCATTTTTTTTGTAGATATCTTCAGTGGTAGCTGTAGAAAGATACTGTTTTTTATTTTAACGCTGATCATAGTTAGTCAAAAGACTGCACTATTTTTTGAATGAAAATAAATTTGCATTAAACTTCCCTAAATATTTTGTGGGTTTTAAAAATTATTTTAAAATGTAAATGCCAGCTTAGTTACTCATGTGTATATTGCATATTTTATGTCCTCTTTCTGTGCATCTTTCTACCTTTATTTCATTTATTCTGCTTACTCTTTTTCCTTCCACCCACTAAAACACCTTATTTAATTATCTTCCTAAGAAATACTCAAACGATGCAGCTTTTGTTACAGCTGCATCATAATCTATTGAGAGCATTTACGCTAACTTTCAAAGGTAGATTCAGTAAGCTATATGAGAATGATGGTGAGAGACCTCTGCAAAGAGATTTGGAGACCGTGTACTTTTGATTCATATGTGTTATTTTTCCTTCTGAGTCTGTATTGAAGGCATCACTCTGCCTTGTGCCTAGGAATTTTGTCTTGCTGAACTTTGTAATTATCTCCATGTCAGACACCCACTGAAACAAGAAAAAAATGTTAGGGTCAGAGAGGGTACCTCTCCTTTTCCCCTTGGAATTATGAGACAATTAACTGTGCTGCATGCAATTAGAAACAATGAAAAATAAATTAAATGTATGCAGCCTTTATAAAAATGATCAAAATACCTCTTCTGTTTTTTCTAACATAAACCAGAGTAGATCCTTTAGCCAAGCAAACATTTGAGGTTGTGTGTCAGAGTAGAGCTCCAGTGTTCATCTGATTATTATTTCTTTACTGAAGTCCTGTGTCCCTTCCCAAGCTGGAACTATAATGAGAGGTACGTTTGTGGAAGGAGATATTACAAGCAGTATATCGGTAGTCTGAGATCCTGCCTGGGATGTCAGATTCTTTGGCAGTGGTATTGCCCAATAAGCGATGTCTGTTTCCTGAGGCTTTGTGTCATACCTGACTGAAAAAGCAGTAGGTGTAAATTTGGGATTATCAGCATTTTGGATCTGGTCATTGTTGCCATCCCCATGTGCAGCATATAGTCTTTCACCTCTGAGCAGCCAGGTCATTTGAGTCCAGACCCTTCATGCAGATTGAGGGGCCATGCAGAGTTAAGGATCCTTTTCTCCAAAACTGTTGAGATTTGGCTTCATGAAGGACGCTCTGCCAGGCTTATGTACTCAGATGCACAGCAGACCTCAACTCTGAGAAAAAGAACTAGGAGAAGAAAAAACTCATCGCTGCGGAGATAAGATATGATAGCACTCACCTCTCTATAATCAATTGATGGAGAACTACCTCTCGAGGGCAGTTTGGTAAGGTTAGGTTTGGATGCCTGAGGGACTCAGTTCAGATCCTGAAGTACAGTGGGATGAATATACATCTGGATACCCTGTCAAAGTCAAAGCCACTGAATCACTTTAGGGACCAGAGGGCTGCCAAGAAATGCTATGCTGCATTTTGGGAAAAACAATTTGCCCAGCCCACTCAGAGTAGAAACAAATAAATGATCCTTTAGGAATCTTTCTTTTCTCTTCCCTTCTAGCAGCCGCATGTGAGTTAGTAGCAGTTGAAGACTAAGCCCAGCTGATGCAAACAAGAGATTGTGGTTAGATGATGCAGTAAATCAGCCTTCAGTATTTCAGTTGCTGAACCAAAGTTTCTATAGGCATATAATGCAAAGGGTTGATTCAGTGCAAACTCACTCTGCCAATTCAAGTGTCTTCACAGTGTGCTGAGTCAGTTGTGTACCAGCCATCTTGAAGCTGGATCAGGTATTATCTGGCTGCCCTGTGCTAACAGCATGCTGGATCAGGTGTCGCCTGCCCTCTTCCTGCTTGCATAAAGCCTAAAGCCAGCATAAATGCCATTATCTGTTTCCAGCTAACTTAACAGAAATGCAAACTTGGACTTATACCTGATCCACATCAAATTCATCCTGCTGAGGAAACCCAGTAGAGCCCAGTTGACATTAACACCGATGAGGCAGAACAGCAACACTCTGCCTTGGCTTCACTGTCATTCTGTGCAGCTGAAACACATTTACAGTCCACACTCGACAGCATCATATATCCAAGTATAGCGTCTTCAGAGGCTGGTATTATGTATGAGCATAGAGCTCACGTGCGCATATGCACCTTAAGCAATGTGTGCCAGTCACAAGTCTTTTAGGTTATCCTGTGAAAGACTTTTCATGTTTGAGAAAGCATCTTTCAAATACTGCTTTGCATAAGGAATGCTGGGGATTTTGTCTGTGGTTAATCTGTCTCTTTCTGTTTGTTTATTATAATCCAGGACAAATGATACTGGCCTCCTTGCTTTCAAAGGCCATTTGCCTGTAACTCAGATAGTGATCACTGACACAAACAGATCAAATTCTGAGGCTGCTTGGAAAATCGGCCCTTTGCGTTGCTATGGAGACAGTGAGTACTAGCTCTTCTCAATTTTCATAGGTACAGAATGTTCCCTCTTTCTTTTTGTTTTGTTGTTTGTTTTTTATTAAAAAAAAATAAATTGTATTTGTCTGATGAAAGGTGGCTTTCCATGTGCAGCTCGCAGCTGCTGTCCTGTGCCAATTAACTATAGAGAAGGGGGTTGTGTTTGCAGGGCAGTTCTGGAATGCTGCTTCCTTCAACACAGAGGCTTCCTATCTGCATTTCCCCACCTTCCATGCCGAGGTCAGCGCGGATATCTCCTTCTTCTTCAAAACTACTGCCATCTCTGGGGTGTTCTTGGAAAACCTTGGAATTAAAGACTTCATACGAGTTGAAATAAGCTGTAAGTTTCATTGAGAAATCTTGGTGTATTTTCCCAGTTTGACAAGTGCAGGAAAGTGAGAAGGACATATTTTCTTTTGTCTTGAGATGGTTGGAGGTGCCTGAAAAGCACAAGATAGAGATATAAAGACTCATTAATCTAGACGTATCTATCTCTTCTGTCAGAGTTTTATTGTAAAGCCTTGGTCATTACACTTAATCTTGTTATGGCTAGGTTTATCTTTCTTAAACAAACAGGTGATTGTACTTTTTCAACACTGATATATATATATGTATTTTTTTCTCTTTAGAGAAAAAACTACTGGTTAAATGTACTTGTAGACTGTAATTTTAGTTGAAAGATTAATAATTTAATACAACCACTCTGATCGTTACTTTTATTTTTGTATCAGCAACATACCCAGTCTGATGCAGCCCTAGTGTTTTAGAAGAACTTGGTGTGTATGGTACAGCTACAGAGTGAGAGTCTATGAAGGACAGAATGCTAATACAAGATAGGTCAGTCACAGTCGTAATGGGCCTTGAATACTTCAAAATCTAGTAAGTGACTGGAGTATAACTGCTGCTCAGTATATAAAAGAGAGTAACAGGGAACTTAATTAGTGAGGTTTTGCCTCACTCCTGTTCTGATGACTTCAAACATTTATTAGTGACAAAAGGGTACCATAGCTTTCACATGAAATATGACTTATGTATTGCAAATTCTGTCAAGCTTAGGAAAAACAAACTGAGTGCTATGCATTTCATGATATGCTTATAATAACCCCAACATAAAAATTAATAAAACAGGGCCCCAAGGCCCTTCGGTTCATTAAACCAATGGTAAATGTCATGGTGCATTATCACAAGGTAATGAGGTATGATTTACTGTTAATTGCACATCAAAGTCCAATTTGGTTGTACTTCAGTGTACTGCATTTCATTCTCAGGCATATAGAAGTAAAAATGTAATTTTGATATCAAATATAACAAATACTGCAAACAACTAGTAGGATTGTTTAGTGAAAGCTTTTGTATGTGTCTTAAATTTGTGCTCCCAGAGAAATGAGTTATTTAAAAGTTTAGAGTAAGTCTTGTCTTTTAAACTTAGGCTTCTCATTAGTAGTTTGGTGTTGTATTTCTTGCTGCCAGATGGAATTTGCAGCCTAAAGGCCTTGTATCAAGGAAGCTCCACAGACCAGCTGCTTCGAAGGGAAACAGCCTTTTAGCAGATGCAGGGGCTCAGAATAGATCTTTGTCTATCCCTGTGGAGTGTTTCCTATCTTAACTATGTAAGAAGCAGCTTCCAAAACCAGACCTATCCAATTTGTTGGGCTTGAAATAACAGGTTTTTATGAATTGTCAATCCACAACCTTCTGGTTGTGTGGTCTCTGGACCGAGTTCTTGGTCTTCCTGGTGTATTTAGCATTTTAGGAAAAGGAAAAATTATCAGTAACAAAGAGTGTTAAAAAGTTCTGTCCCCTTTCGGGCTTCCAGCAGAGCAAGATGGACTCCTTTATACAGCTGCTGTTTTTCAATTATCATCCTGTTTCTAGAAGCCTACATGTCTCTGGACATGTGTTACATATGTCCCTTTGGTTTAGGATCACTAATGAACTAGTTTTTCTCATATGTTTTTCCTTGCTTCCCAGATCAGGCTTATTCAGGCAAACAAATGCTTGTAGGATTCTCTCCTACCATTTTCAGCCAAGTTCTATAATTGTTAAGTATCTGCATTTTGAAAGATTTATTTAGAAAGAGCTTTTTCAACCTTTCCCCCATCTTAGCATTATTTGTCCAAAATCTTTTACTACCATTATGTGACTTTTGTACAGCATTTGGCACTTTTACTTCAAAAAGATAATAAACTCCTATTTCTAGGGTGCTGTAATTGTTATAGGAAATTTTTTTTTTTGATGGGTACCCACAGCCAAGCATGATCACAGCAGAGATCAAACAGTGAGGCTGCAGGCTTAGATTTATGTATAAGCTGCTGTTCAGGTGATGGGAGGTAAATGATGCTGTACTATTCGCTAACATAAAAGTTAATGGGCCCTATATTTATGTAAGATTTCTTTATGTTAAAACCACAATGTAATTCAGACCTTCACTTCCTCTTCACATCTGTTTATCTATTCCAGCCCCCAAAGAGATCACCTTCTCTATAGATGTCGGGAATGGCCCCACAGAAGCCACTGTGCAGTCTCCCACACCCCTGAATGACAACCAGTGGCACTACATCCGAGCAGAGAGAAACCTCAAGCAAACATCTCTGCAGGTGGACAGCCTCCCTAAGAAGGTCTTGGAGGCACCTACTGAGGGGCACTTCCGCTTGCAGCTCAACAGCCAATTATTTGTAGGTAGGGACCATTTAAGGGTTTCTGCAAATACGTGCAATATTTCTATGCCCATACTTTGGTTAAGCTACTGTTTCACCATTGAGTTTGCATGTGATGAGCTAATTCTGCTTTCTTGTATTGGCATTTAGCCAAGGTCAACCCACCACATTTCTCTTCTTCCATCCTGCATAGGCAACATAAAGTAAACCCAAACTACTGCCTTTACACTCAAAGCAGTAACCATAGTTTATCCGTACTTTACTAGATGGTATTTTTAGGGTCTAAGATTGCTTGAAACATATTTATTGCGAAAGAATTCATAATATTTCTTCTTGTGCAGCACTGGCTGTGTAATTTGCTGTAGGAAATGTGACATTTCTTTTTAGATACAATGTAAAAAGCACAAATTCTTCATATAAGTTTCTGGGGCAAAGCCTGATGACAGTATGGCCTTAAAGTCTATTCTTTCAAGCATGCCTAACAAAACTCTTTCTTGGCCATGGAGTGCATTTGTGAGAGAACTATAAACACAGTCAAAGCAAATATGATTATTTTAACTGAAGGTGATCTTTCAAAGGGGGGAGTATTGGGGGGGCTGGGGGGTGGAGAAAAAAAAAATCTATTTGCATGTACTTTGTTTCTCTATCTCTCTTTCAAATGAAACCTAGATTGGGACCAGCTTGTATTTGATAATATAATCAGGGATTACAAAGGGACTTCTCCCTTTTCTATATTCAAATACTGTCTTTCTGAGTAATCCGCTCAGTGATGGAGTGGGTTGTAACCTGCTTCTTATTCAGGGCCATTCAGGTAACTACCGATTCTTTCCTTAAAATGGATTCTCGTAGTTAGCTGAAATGCTACAGCAAACCTCAATCTGTCAGTTTATTTTAATAAAGTTTACCTGTGTATCCACACCCTTTAATTTAAGCATATGTTGAGGTATTTATTTGAGCTTTTTATAGCATATGTGTGCAGTAATTACTGGGCTCTGAATGTAAGGAATGAATCCGTTAATAAATAGAGATAGCTGCATCAATAGCCAGGAGTCCTTCCCCTACATAGCTGTTGATTATACCTAAAATGATCTCTGATAGACTCAGCCAGAGGAAAGCTCACTGAAGAACTCACAGAAGGGAGGCTTAAGTCTGTCACAGTGCAAGATTTCTGTTTTCTGGTATGAAGAAAATCTTCTAATCTCTTGTTTCTCAAATGCTAAGATGATCCTAAGAACACGTTCTGCAGGAGGCCAGGCCTGAAGGCAGGAGGGTTAGGCTGCTAGACGCCTTAGAAACATCAGAGAAATGTAGCCAAGATATAGTTTCCAGTTAGAAAACTTAGATAATTTAATGACTAGGTAGACTTTTTCAAATTTTTAGTTGTCTTTTTAAAGTAATAAAAATGAAGCATTTATCGTAAGTCACCTGTCAGATGTCATGTGTCAGCTGCTTACCATCTTCTATCTGAAAAACAGTACCGCCTGTAAGCTTGCTTCTCTTCCTCAGCAAAATAAACAGGTTATCTAAACAAACTTCATGGTAGTTTTAAAGTGACATAATCAACGAATTGCATAATGGAAATCCACAGTAGTTAAAAAACCCAGCAGAGAAATGTACCAACGGGAACCTTTGTCAGCAAAGACAAATGCAAAGCCCTGCACCTGGGGCATCATGCATCCATAGAAGAAGGGGATTGGGTGGGTGGGTAGCAGCTGTGCAGAAAAGATCGCATTGGTCTTGGTGGAGAAGTGAATCTGTACCTCATCTGTACCTCTGTGCTTTGAGGAACAGGTTGAGACAGTTCATCTCCAGCAGTGACTTCCAAACTAATTTTTTTCTCTGATGATACTTAATACTTACATAGAATCAATCATAGAATAGTTTGGTTGGAAAATACCATTATGATCATCTAGTCCAACCATAAACCTGGCATTGCCAAGTTCACCACTAAAGCATGTTCCCAAGTACCACATCTACACGTCCTTTAAATACCTCCAGGGATGGTGACTCCACCACTTCCCTTGGCAGCCTGTTCCCATATTTGACAACCTTTTCAGTGAAGAATTCTTTCCTAATATCCAACCTAAACCTCCCCTGGCACAACACAGGAGGTTTACATTAAACTCTAGGACATAGTTACTTTATCTCAGCCAAGAGATGAAAGTTCTCACTGTGCAGTAAATAGATTGCATTCAGTTTTCCATCCACACTTTTACTGGACCCTGAACAAAAGGGACAGTAAATCTAATGTTTTTAGGAGTGCTTTTTCAGCCCTTAGTTCTACTGTATTGAAGGCTAAAACTCAGAATTACTTCCCGAGTTTTCCTAAGAGTAGTCAGAAGAGATTGAAACCTGGGCAGCCTCCTGATGCTGACACAGTTTGTCCCTGGGTTCTCCAGGGAAAGGTGGCAGAAGTCCAACAATACACAGATGTGGCATAATTTGTCTCAACTGAAGGTCTAATTCCAGTCTCTAATAGGAAGCAACTGATTTAATACCTCAACCATGTGGACTGAATTTTATCCCATCTGAAAAATAAATGCATAAACAACATTGTAAAAAGGAAAGAAGCAACAGCACATAATATTACTGCCTACTCCCTTTATAATCCACAACATATTTGTTTCTGCAGCATTCTGCATACTGACAGTGATTAAGAGGTTTCCACAATTAGTATGCACATTCTTAATTAATAATCTATATAACTGAAATGATTTGCTATTTTAAAAATGTTCCAAATATTTTTTGAATGGATCTCCCTATTTCATTCCATTTAAACTTAGAACTTTGTTTCCACAGTGAAGGTAGCTAGTCATTGAGATATAACCTTTTTTTTTTTTTTTTTTCCCTTGGTTCTTCTCCAGAATCAATTCAAATATTTTGTAAATCTCATAAATAAGGTTCAATGGCAAAATTTAATTTAGTTTATCTTCTGGAAGGATTTATTGATCCTTTGGGATAAGGGAACTGTATTAGGATCATGTAGCTTTGTGAAGATGATTGAATAGACATCCACTGTAGCTTTCAAACTATGACAATTTTCCTGTTGTTTCAGAGACGTCAGCCCATATGCAGTATATGTGAGGTGGTTTTGTGTCTTTTCCTTTTAGGAAGTTATATGCAGTAGATCACACATACAAAATAAATGTGGACATTTGTAAAATTTGACTACTGGGGCATCTGGCATATAACATAATTTTAAAGGAGTTCTGCTAATTTGGACCAATTAATTCCTTGTCAGCTGTTTCTCCGTGTTTTATGAACGAGTTATTTACTTCTGTTTTGGCCATATTTTTCCTTCTTAACCCACAAACCAGATATATTTGGGACTGTGTGTAATAGAATAATATAGCTCTTTGGTTTTTATTTTTGTTTATTGGGTTTTTTAAATGTTGGCCTGTCAAACAGTCTTTTCACTTTCTATGATTTATAGTAAAGAAAGTTGAACAGAAACTTTCTCCAGCAATGTTAGCAAAACATTTGTAGGCAGTTGTGGAGCTCTGCTTCATTTACTTCTGATCCAGCATTACTGACACATAGTGAGGAAGTTAATCAGCCTTTAAATACTTCATAAGGATGAGTGTTGAGAAGGCCTGACTTGGCTTGGAAGTTTATCTTCAGATTGACTGTCTTAGGTATTTTAGGAGATTTACACTTTTACTGAAGATTTTCCAATGACTAAGCACAGAGAAGGATTTCTCTTTTATATGTATAGGTCCTTTCATGTCTAGTAAGGGATGAATTCACACTCGATCTTCCTGAGTGGAGACCTTGATGCTGTTTCTCTTATGTACCCTACTGCCAGTTTTCTTGAAATATGGAAGAGCATAATATTTGCTCCTTTAAATTTAGGCAAGGAGTTAAAAAAGACTGGATTCAGAGATAAAAATACACCACATGTTCTCTTCCATAAGAAACCAAACAAAAAAAACCACATCACAACTATCTATTCCTTTTAGATGGAGGAAAACACTGATTGTGAACTAATAGAAAGCTATGTCCATAAGACTGTGAAAAATATGAACCTGAGTTGTGTCAGAGGGATACTAACTCATGTATAATGTTAGGGAGTTCAGTGTTTGGATGTCACAGTTGCTTATTCCAACAGAGAAATCCAGATGTTCAGAGACTGTAGCAGAACCTGAGAGTCTCACCATGACTTACATTGTCCGTATGCTAATTTTGAGTTGTTCATGTTCTTGAACTTAGGCCTGTCTGGGTCATTGTTAGGGTAAAAATCAATTTTCAACTTGCTCTATGTACTTAGGTGTAACCATTAGTGTGTTTAATGTTGTTAAACTGCATTTCTGTGGATTATCTTTGAATGTTAGGCATGTCTTACTGGGCTTAAACTCACATTACATTACAGCACTATCTGTGAGAAAACTTTTTAATCACTTCTGGCCTTGATAAGCATAAAGCAGTTGTAATTCATTATCTGCACACTAATGAGCCCAAAAATACTTCCATTTGGTAACTGGTACAACATTGTAGATAGAGATGTTCACACGAGTTTTATATATCCTGGAAAGATGCATTCATGTAGTGATTTCTGTTTACTCCAAAGTCTATTTCATACATGGATATTGGAGCTGAGAATCAGATCCTTCTTCCCATAGGAAGATGAATGCTGTTCATTGTATTCACAGAAAAGCTGGAATTTGAGTGTAATTTCTTTCCATACTGTCTCCTCCCCATTCAGTTCTGCCCTGCCACCTTTCATTGCCTTGTTTTGTGTTTAATTCAATGGTCTTGGTTGTTCTTGCATCTTGCTGACTTGATGTCTGCCCTGCACATCTGTCTTCGGGGGACGTTCCCCTTGGGGGAGCAGAACCTAAGCATTTGCTCTGGCCAGCATGCCACATAGCATGTGTAAGAAACTGTCATTGTCTGATGTTCAACAGTGATGATTTCTTACATGTTCTATTCAAAATAAACCATAAAAAATGGCTACCTTATTATTGGATCTACCTAGAGATAAAACCAAAAGGCGGGGAGTAAAAATGGAGATCAAATCTAATCCATCTCCTTTTATCTCCTCATCCATAGCAACACAAAGTGACAGGATTCAAATTTGCAATTCTTGTTTTATTCCATCACTTCCTATAAATATCTGACTGTATCCAATTATGGTTTCTCTCTGTTACGGAGAAAGTGTTCTGCATAGTTACTAAGAGACAAAAGCGTAGATTAAGTAATGTTTGTATGATTTGCTGTTGTTTTAAATGTGTAGTTGACTCACAGGGCACTTGCATATTTATCTATGTAGTAACAGAAAGATATTTTCTACTTGTTCCAATAACTTAGAATGAAGACAGAAAATCTGCTTAAGGCCAACATTGGCACACATGGAGTATGTGGCAGACTTCTGAGAGAGCTTTCTGTGTGTGTAAAGTGGAAGGGACAATGGACTTTTCTTTGCCAGGACACTCAAAATCAAACAAGCCTGGATTTTAAAGTAGCCTAAAGGAGTTAGAAAACCATTTCTCATGTTCTTTTACTGGATCTTGAATATCTAACTGTTTACCTACGTTAATAACTGCAGTATCTAGGCTGCTTTATAATCCTCAGCTATAGCATGGATATTATTGCACCTGGCTATGCTTCTTCTGTTGATTTAAAAACATTACAGTAGAAGGACCAAACCTCAAACAAATATACAGGCTAGATAATATCAATTGCACCAAACTGCCCAGCAACAGGCCAGTTTGGCACATTACGTCCTCTGAAGGGACAGGCAAAAATCATTCCTTTTAATGGACAGGTGCTTTCAGCATTCAAAATGAGTGAATCATTTTGAAATAGTGCAGCTGTCTGCTGGTATATCCCTGTGGTCCTAGAAGAAATATGTCATCATCTATTCTCATGGTGAAGTCTGAGATGAAACTTTATCTTATCTAGTGGAGAAGGCATGGCCATAACACTTTGGTATGGGGAGGGAAGAAACAGTCCTCACAGACCTCTTTGAGAAAAAGATTTGCACTCAGACCGGTAACATCAGAGAAGCAAAATACAAATCCTAAGAAGTTAATTTGATGCATAAAGCCTTGATCAGAAGTTTTTGTGCTATTCACTTGGTACGTTAAGGAGACTAGCAAAGTAAAGTGCTTGGGTTCCTGGTTTTGTCTTGGGAGCAAGGAATCCTTGGTGAATCTCCTCTCTCTGTTATATACAGTCCAAATGTAATGTACCTCAGAGAGAGCCATCATCTGAGAAACGTTCCTGGGAGACAGAAAAACGGAAGGAGAGAAAAATAAGTGGCATACTTTTACTGCTGTTATTTTTAAAGAAATCTGTAGACACTCTGGAGGCCAGGAGGAGGAATTAATGCTTAACTCCTTGTGTATCCTGACTGCTTTGTACAACTTTCGGTTTGAGACTAACAAGTGTGACTTGGGTGTCTTCTGAGGAATATCACAGCAAATTCACCTACTGCTGAGTAATAATTACAATTCTTATACTCCCATGCCCTTTCCTTTTCTTTGTATTAGTTACATAAAGCAAGAAGGCTCCTAATATTTATTCATGTTGTTTCAGCCTCCCTAATTCAGTTCTTACCAACAAAAAGTCCTTTGCTTTTAAAGCAAATCCTCAGTTCATTGATAGAATGTTAATTATTTAGGCAATTGTGTCACCAGGCTGTGCTATGAATGCTCAGTTGTGAGCTTCTTGCCCCTTCCTCTCAGAGTCTCCCTTCCTTACACCAAGACTTCTCAGTAAAAATCAGCTACAGAAGTACCTTGCTGAAAACAGCACGGCTCATTTGACTGTCACCTCCATTCAACAAAGAACACCCTTAACTCTGGTGTTTATGGTCCCGAGGCTTATCCTAAAATCTCTTTTCCTGAATGAAACATTTAGGTCACGTCCATGAAATTGTCCAGTCCAACAGGCCTATTAGAGTAGGAAAAATCTGCAAAGCCTAATCTGGGGAAGAGTTTTGTTTGTTTGCTCTTAATTTTTCTCTGCTTTGCGGGAATGTGTTTGAAGATTAGGTCTAGTCAATTAAAGAAAACTGCCCAAAACTGCAGATTTGCTTAATCAATACTGTGTGGATCTAGGGTCATATAGGTGGTGTCTGTTAGGCTCTATATCCTCCAGACACAAGAAAAGAAGAGAAACTTCACATGGCTTTCCAAAGTGCTTTAGAGATCAGTAAGAATATAGGTAGTGCGATAAACTTGACATCTGTAGAATAGTTAGCAATAGTTTGTACTCGTTCTTTAAATGTTACAACTGGGATTTGTATTTGTGCAGAGAAAAGAGGCAAGGAAACTACCGTTATTCCTTTTAATATTTGTGGTTACCTCCCATGCAAAAGAAAACAAAGTAACCAATAACCTTAAAGGGAGGAATCACATTTCTACTAATTTGGACATTACTGAAGATTCTGTATGGTGTTTGATTTCGGAACAAAATCTCCAGCAAAAAGGACTGTGTGTGCACAGAGCAGCAAATGCAGAGGACCAGATTCTTGTGCTCAGAGGGCTTTTAAAATAAGTGAGATAACATTTGCTCACCTGAAAAGAATAGCTGGCTAAAGAGGAATTTGAAAATATTTGTTTCTCTGAAAAAGACATCATAAAATTAGCATGAAATAAACCTGTCTCAAACATACTATCCATAGTTCAATTATTCTAATTCAAATCCAGTATTTCTGCTGTTAGTGTACCAGAAAGAAAATATGCTAGAATGGTATAGCAGAACAATAGAGTTTTGGTGTGATTGCTTTTCAGACCATTGCTTCATTCTCTTAGTTTGCAGAAGTCTTGCTTTAATTAAACAATTTTTGAAAAAGCAGATGTTCTTCTGCAAGGACTTATCAAAAAATGTAATCTCTTATCTCATGCACTTCGATATAGAACCAACTTCTACAGAAGAATAATTTGGAAGGATAAATTCTTTCATACTACTTTTGCAGGCAAATTAATAAAGCTGGCATTTCAGAGCCTACAAATGCTGATAACTTCTGAACCAGAATGAGACTTCTTAGCAGCAATTAAAATTGCAGTATCTTCAAAAGCAAAACATTGGCAACTGCCAAACAAAGCCTACAATAAGAAAAATTGTGGTATTTTCACAAAGTACTCTAACAATCATCATTATTATCATTCTCAGAGACCACTTCTTATGGAAATAGTGTGTTCATTGTAACACTGTTAGCAATTTCACTGGGAAGATAAGAAGCTAGTTAGCTTGTAGAGACTGAACTGCCCTCTTGTGTAGATCCATACAGCTCTGGTCTTCAGGAAGAAATGTAATTATGTTTAACAATTGTAATAAATAACACAACAGTGACCTGAACTCATGTTTCTTGCCTACAACAATCATTTACATGCAACATCAGGTTGGGCAGTCATGCATAAATTCTGACTAAAGTCATTTCCCTTCAGCCAGCAGGCCTGGTGCTGAACATGATTCATCCCTGCTATCTGGACTCATCAGCATGTGTAAGTCACCTGCTGTTGGGATTAGGGTGTTATTTATACTCTGTACTATGGCAACAAATAGAAAAAAAGCAGCATTTTAGGTTTGGGTTTCTCATGTATAAGGTGATGTGCAGACATACGATAAAGAAGCTAATCTTTTTTCCCAAATGAATTTGCAGTTTAAATGCCAGACAGGGCAGTAGATAAGGCAGGAAAGAGAAGAATGGCAACAAGAAAGTGTCATACACAGCTGTTTAGTCCTTTCATAAACATAAATAGAGACCTTTAGTTTCCAGGGCTGTCCATCTGTCATCTTTTGCCACTGTATGCATTGATAGATAGTATTTTTTAAAATTCATGGATTCATATTTGTACCTCTGGATTGGACTGTGGATTGCAGACTCAACAATGAATGCATGTTCTTTCTTCTTCAGGGGGAACAGCTTCCAGACAAAAGGGCTTTTTGGGCTGCATTCGATCTCTGAATTTAAATGGACAGAAACTTGACCTTGAAGAGAGAGCTAAAATGACAGCTGGTGTTAAACCTGGATGTCCAGGACATTGCAGCAGCTATGGTAACCTGTGTCATAATGGAGGAAAATGTGTGGAGAAGTATAATGGTTACTCCTGTGATTGTACCAACTCAGCCTATGAAGGACCTTTCTGCAAGGAAGGTAGGCAGCAAGCTTTGATCCTATGGCCTTCATGGTCTCTGATTTACAGCAGAATTTCACCCATGTCAGCTTGGTGTCCCCCATGTTACAAGATGATATTCTAATTATCAGCTGTTCCTTCAGCATTACTAAGTGTTTATCTTATGCAGGCTATAACGCCTCCTTTTGTTGACTTCAGTGATGGCCTCAGAAATTAAAATAGCATTAGTTGTACTATTAAAGTTGCCAAACATATCCTACTATGATTCCTGTATTCCTTTGTATATAACTTGTCCCAGATATTAACAAATAGGGATGGATTTTTTCATAGTAGTTGTCTGTCCATGTCTGAATGTTTAGTTCACTTGTTTTTAAAACTTGTCCAGCTTTGTCCACTTAACAAAATCTTGAGAGCTTTTCTTTACAGAATTTTGGAGAAACTGTGTGACAAAAAGAGGCAGGGGGTTTTTTATGTGGTTTTTTTTTTGCCATTCCTGTGACAAGCCATCCAAACATTAGGAGATTTTAAAAATAAGCATGAAGCATTCTGATTTGCATGGTTCAGTCTCTGGTGAATGTCCTCACTGAACCTTTCTGGTGGCTTGTAGGAGATGCTGACAGCACCAGAAGAAGGAGCAGGGCAAATAAAGAATATCCAATTTAGGTAACATGCTGTTTGTGAGACGAAGGAACTAGCAAAAATCCAGCTCAATAACAACAAGATGCAATGTGAGTGTTTTAATTTCCATGGCTGCCCCTCACCTCACAAATGCAACGGGTTTACTAAGTGGGCCACATCATCTGCTGGTGTAAATCGACTTAATTTTACTGCAGTCCATGGAACTATGCTCACTTACATGAGCTGAGGATTTGGCGCCAATGCCACAGGACGTGTGTCAAATAACCACATAGTGTCCTGTGAGGAAATGCTGCTATAGAGGTGGATCTGTTTTAATGGATAAAATATTTGCAGTCAGTCTCTCTAGCTGAAGATACCACCATCGTGACTTTACTACGCCTCACATTAGAAAAAAACTGCTGTTATCACATCTGTGTATTTGGTGTCCAGAGTATGTTGTGTTTATCGAAAACACAAGCGTGAGTTCTCAGGATCTGAGCATGCACAGATAGATGTTTCTTTTCTTTTGGAGGTACCAAAGACAGCTTCCCTTACTGGCTGTCTTTGAGTCAATGTGTTGCTTTAATTTGTTTAAAAAGGAGACTGGAAAGGACAAATATATTGTCTTGACTGTGGGAGAAAG